AGTGTAGTAAACGTGACGCATCATGCTATTTTTCATAAGAGAGGGAAAGATGACCCCTACACGTTGCTTTACGATGATCTCCAGCGTCGAAAATGGTTTGGTGTTTGGGTAGAAATTTATTGTTTGATCGCAGCTTCCTTGAAGCAGTAATGTCGTCATTGATATTTTTACGAGTTGCGTCAAGATGCCAATCACCACTGAGCACAGCACTCCTCTGCATTATATCTTTCATTTTTTTTCCCCCTCGCTCTCTGTCTCACTCTCTATGGATACATGTTTTTATCTGTTTCTTTGTTTTGGGAACTGTCGGCGCCCATGCTTGGATACGTGGAAGCGGCGTTGGAGAGGGCACCATGTCGCGTCAGATAATGTCAAGGCGTTGTGAGGCAAAGGCGGCAAGAAGAAAGATTTGTTTCATTGGTTTGTTAGTTGTTCTGGTGGTGTTTTGCTTTGTCATGCCGTTTCCAATGCTGAGTGAGATTTCCAGCGAAAGCGCGGCGGTAGAAGAGCTGGAGAGGGTTGATGACAAGCAAGCCGTTGCAGTTATGCAGGCGCAGCCAATGTGGAAGGTTTCGCTGGAGATGGAGCGAGTCTTGGCGAAACTCGGAGAAGATATAGAGGCATTTGCCAAACGGGTGGATGACTTTCTCCAACAGACGCCACATATCACCATGCTCAACAGAACGTGTCACTTTGCCTATCCACTAAACAGGCAGGTGACGAAGCTTGAATACGAGACGGGTCGATTCCGTAGGCAACACACAAGAACGCCCATTGAATTCTTAGGTGTTCTTCAGCAGCGAGCTAACGGTAGTGTCTTCATCTTCACGGAGCCGTTGCCGTGGATGGTGAAGCGAGCACCGGTTGTTCTTTCGTCCATTTTCGACATAACCCGGGCGTTTGGCAGGTGGCGTGTCTCGTTCAACGGCACATCACCCGCTGAGAAGAGTGGCTCAGGATACATTGGCGTATCCGATAGCGGTGGTTTCCTACCGGTTAGCGAAAAATATGGAAAGTACCAGATAGTGCGGCCACAACCTCCGATGTATGTGGCAATGTTCCCCAACGCGGTGGCCTCCAGTGGGCACGTCATAACGTGTGAAGGAATGGTGTATACGGCCGGAGGTTGTCTGCGGCAATGGTACTTGCCGGCCATAACTGAACGCAATCAGCTAGACTGGCATGCGATTGCTGTACCTTTCTGCGACGATTGGTGCAGGGGGTATTTCCATTTCACTCATGAGCACTTGATTCGTCTATCCCTCGTGCACAAGGTGCTACTGGAGCGGGAGGACGCAGTGCTGGTGTCGCGCACGCCTTTCAGGA